GATGGAAGCATACCTGAAAATTCGATCCTCTGTTGAAAAACCAGGACAAGTTGGTCACTCAAATCTTGTTGTAACTCATCATATATCTTTATTATTATATAAGTAGTACGTACGTACGTACCCTCACTCACAGGAGTGGTATGCAGATTTTTTACTTAAATAAAGCATTTTGACTAGTAGCAGAGGAAAGAAAAAAAAAGGCAACTTCCAGATTTGGCGAAAAATCTGAAATCAGCAAAATGATGTCAGTTATGGGATTGAAATGTGAGTGTGGAGAGTAAATGAGTAAATGAACTTCGTTCTGGAAAGCTAATAATAATATCTCCTTCAGGTATAGTGCCTGCTAATCTTTTTGTCCTACAAAATTTGTTTTCTGAAAGACCACAAAAACGATTTTGCTTAATTATTCTATATATGGCCTGTCTGTGCCTCTTTATTGTTGGCCATGCAATTAAAGTTGTCTGAGCTTTATTTTGTTTGGGTATCAACTAACACCATCAAGTCAATGCTTACAGAAATAAAAAAAAAAAAAAGACTGTAAAAAGAGAAAGGACAGATAGAGCGAGAGAACTTGAAGGCATTGACATGAGAAACGTTATATCCAGCTCACGAAGAAGGTCAACATTTAGTGTTTGTGACACCTGGGGTTCGACTTTGCGGACAGATGTATCTATGATTCTATTCTTAAAGGTGATAGATATAATTACAGAGAAGAAGCAATTGGGCATCACTAGCTAGTTTCTGTCTGTACCTTTAGTCGTTTAATGTCATTCTTAGGATAAGGTATCTATTGGAAGGCAAGTATGTTTATGAGCCCATACTCACTCATTTAGCATTACTATTACTATTGTGCGACTTGGACGAGGAACTGAGTGAGTAGTACTCTATATAGTTAATATTCCAGTAAAACTGCTGTTACTATCTGCAGAGGTATTGAGTAAATTCTCAAACTCTATAAGTACCACTCAAATGTCTTTCATTTGCACGGATCATAGAATTACATAAATTCTCACTATAA